ACACACACCCCGTATACATTCCCACAAAACCTTCCAGTTAGCCACAAAGCTGCTGGACATGAAGAAAAGTTTGGATAAAAGCTTTTCAACAAGCGCTAATTCCAGCTGTAGCCAGCTATACACACACCTGGCCATGCACACAGCCAGCTATACACACACCTGGCCATGCACACAGCCAGCTATACACACACCTGGCCATGCACACAGCCAGCTATACACACACCTGGCCATGCACACAGCCAGCTATACACACACCTGGCGAAGAAAAGTTTGGATAAAAGCTTTTCAACAAGCGCTAATTCCAGCTGTAGCCAGCTATACACACACCTGGCCATGCACACAGCCAGCTATACACACACCTGGCCATGCACACAGCCAGCTATACACACACCTGGCCATGCACACAGCCAGCTATACACACACCTGGCCATGCACACAGCCAGCTATACACACACCTGGCCATGCACACAGCCAGCTATACACACACCTGGCCATGCACACAGCCAGCTATACACACACCTGGCCATGCACACAGCCAGCTATACACACACCTGGCCATGCACACAGCCAGCTATACACACACCTGGCCATGCACACAGCCAGCTATACACACACCTGGCCATGCACACAGCCAGCTATACACACACCTGGCCATGCACACAGCCAGCTATACACACACCTGGCCATGCACACAGCCAGCTATACACACACCTGGCTGTATATAGCAGAGCGCGTGTAAAGAGTGTGTGTAAAATGCTACAAGCTTTAGCTCCTGCCAGTAACTAGAATTCCCCCTCCTTTAAGTAATTTCTTTTAATATTGCAAAATTATACTCTAGTTAGATGCTTAGATCTCTTAGGGTTATTTTTGCTGCTTGGTGGTGCTTTACAATTCATGTCACGTCTACAATGCATCACCAATTCAGAAAGAAAACAGAATTCTTTATAGTTTCTCTAATCGTAGTGGACCAAGGCTGTATGGGCTTTGATTAGATGTAGTGCTTTTCCTTTCACATCCTTCAAGGCCCACTGGAGAACTCAAGTCATTATTTTGAAGCAACAAGGCAGCTTATCCGTATGGTAAGTGGCAGTGCCTTTGATCTGTAAAGCCAACACATGTACAGCCGCAGAGTTTGATTTCTGGAGCATCCAGAAGTTTGACCTCTGCAATGTTTTGTTTTCTGAGCCTCACAGCAAGTTATCCCTGATTCCCCCTTTCTCTTCCCACGCTCCCCAAAGACGGGCGAGGTGGAAAGTCCATCACAGGCTTCGGTCGCAGGAACAATCATTTGAAGAGTTTGTTAAGCAACGGAACGTGCGTTCTGGAGGAAGGCGACGTTCAACCTCAGTTTATCTGAGACTCTTTCGTCAACGTGTCTCATGCTTTGTGCGCGTTGATCTTGCTTTGTCTTAGAATCATAGAATCCTAGAATACTAGGACTGGAAGGGACCTTGAGAGGTCATCGAGTCCAGGCCCCTGCCCTCATGGCTGGACCAAATACTGTCTAGACCATCCCTGATAGACATTTATCGAACCTGCTCTTAAATATCTCCAGAGATGGGGATTCCACAACCTCCCTGGGCAATTTATTCCAGTGTTTGACCACCCTGACAGTTAGGAACTTTTTCCTAATGTCCAATCTAAACCGCCCTTGTTGCAGTTTAAGCCCATTGCTTCTTGTTCTATCCTCGGAGGCCAAGATGAACAAGTTTTCTCCCTCCTCCTTATGACACCCTTTTAGATACCTGAAAACTGCTATCATGTCCCCCCTCAGTTTTCTCCTTTCCAAACTAAACAAGCCCAATTCTTTCCGTCTTCCCTCGTAGCTCATGTTCTCTAGACCTTTAATCATCCTTGTTGCTCTTCTCTGGATCTTCTTCAATTTCTTCACATCTTTCTTGAAATGTGCCGCCCAGAACGAGACACAATACTCCAACTGAGGCCTAATCAGTGCAGAGTAGAGTGGAAGAATGACTTCTCGTGTCTTGCTCACAACACACCTGTTAATGCATCCCAGAATCATGTTTGCTTTTTTTGCAACTGTTCACTCATATTTAGCTTATGGTTCGCTATAACCCCTCGATCCCTTTCTGCCATACTCCTTCCTAGACAGTCACTTCCCATTCTGTATGTGTGAAACTGATTGTTCCTTCCTAAGTGGAGCACTTTGCATTTGTCTTTATTAAACTTCATCCTGTTTACCTCAGACCATTTCTCCAATTTGTCCAGATCATTTTGAATTTTGACCCTATCCTCCAGATTAGTCACAACCCCTCCCAGCTTGGTATCATCTGCAAACTTAATAAGCGTACTTTCTATGCCAATATCTAAATCGTTGATGAAGATATTAAACAGAGCCGGTCCCAAATCAGATCCCTGCGGAACCCCACTTGTTATACCTTTCCAGCAGGATTGTGAACCATTAATAACTACTCTCTGAGTATGGTTATCCAGCCAGTTATGCACCCACCTTATAGTAGCCCCATCTAAGTTGTATTTGCCTAGTTTATTGAAAAGAATATCATGCAAGACCGTATCAAACACCTTACTAAAGTCTAGATATACCACATCCACCCCTGCTCCCTTATCCACAAGACTCGTCGTCCTATCAAAGAAAGCTATCAGATTGGTTTGACGTGATTTGTTCTTTACAAATCCATGAGTCTTGATTCGTTCTTTACAAGTCTTGAGTTCCTTTAGGAGGACCCTCTCCTCGGAGGCAGGGATACTAAGAGCCTGGCTGCAAGCAGTGTAGGTGCCGTTATATCTTGTATTGGACCAGCTTCTCCTGGGGGCAGAGACAAGCTATGGCGCTTCCCCCAGCCTCCTCTGCAGGTTGTGCCGCGTGATTGCTTCCTGCCCAGAGGGCGGAGGGGGAGCCCCAGTTCTGATCCCCAGCAGAGACTCAAGGCCCGTGTGACTTCTCTAGCGACACCGCGGGCGGGTAGTGCACAGGAACAACCTGGCCCTTCAGCACTGGCGAGTGAAAGCCGGGTCCGAGACCCTCTCCAGCTTCCACGCCCTCCCTGTGGAAAAGATCTTCCTCATGGACAGCAAGTCTGTGTTTCCCAGAGACAGCGACATCGCCCTGGTGAAGCTGGCGGCCCCTTTCGCTATTTCAGGTGAGCAAGAGTCTGTGCTAAGCCACCGTCAGACATGCTGTCGGAACGAGCATCCCATGCCAGTCCCTGGGCAGCCGCAGCCTCTGGCTTCGGCTGTGTGGGCCAGATAGCTGGAACCTCTGCTCCCACCAATGGTGCGTGCCCACATCACAGGCTGGGGGGACACGTGAAGGAGTCTGATGCAGCCCTTTGGGGAGGAGTGGCACACCAGGGTGGCACAGGGGCCGTTAGCAAATCCACTTGGGTGATGTAGCGCCCTGGCAGTGCCCGGCTGCCTGGGTCAGCCCACGAGTCTGATGCAGCCCTTTGGGGAGGAGTGGCACACCAGGGTGGCACAGGGGCCGTTAGCAAATCCACTTGGGTGATGTAGCGCCCTGGCAGTGCCCGGCTGCCTGGGTCAGCCCACGAGTCTGATGCAGCCCTTTGGGGAGGAGTGGCACACCAGGGTGGCACAGGGGCCGTTAGCAAATCCACTTGGGTGATGTAGCGCCCTGGCAGTGCCCGGCTGCCTGGGTCAGCCCACGAGTCTGATGCAGCCCTTTGGGGAGGAGTGGCACACCAGGGTGGCACAGGGGCCGTTAGCAAATCCACTTGGGTGATGTAGCGCCCTGGCAGTGCCCGGCTGCCTGGGTCAGCCCACGAGTCTGATGCAGCCCTTTGGGGAGGAGTGGCACACCAGGGTGGCACAGGGGCCGTTAGCAAATCCACTTGGGTGATGTAGCGCCCTGGCAGTGCCCGGCTGCCTGGGTCAGCCCACGAGTCTGATGCAGCCCTTTGGGGAGGAGTGGCACACCAGGGTGGCACAGGGGCCGTTAGCAAATCCACTTGGGTGATGTAGCGCCCTGGCAGTGCCCGGCTGCCTGGGTCAGCCCACGAGTCTGATGCAGCCCTTTGGGGAGGAGTGGCACACCAGGGTGGCACAGGGGCCGTTAGCAAATCCACTTGGGTGATGTAGCGCCCTGGCAGTGCCCGGCTGCCTGGGTCAGCCCACGAGTCTGATGCAGCCCTTTGGGGAGGAGTGGCACACCAGGGTGGCACAGGGGCCGTTAGCAAATCCACTTGGGTGATGTAGCGCCCTGGCAGTGCCCGGCTGCCTGGGTCAGCCCACGAGTCTGATGCAGCCCTTTGGGGAGGAGTGGCACACCAGGGTGGCACAGGGGCCGTTAGCAAATCCACTTGGGTGATGTAGCGCCCTGGCAGTGCCCGGCTGCCTGGGTCAGCCCACGAGTCTGATGCAGCCCTTTGGGGAGGAGTGGCACACCAGGGTGGCACAGGGGCCGTTAGCAAATCCACTTGGGTGATGTAGCGCCCTGGCAGTGCCCGGCTGCCTGGGTCAGCCCACGAGTCTGATGCAGCCCTTTGGGGAGGAGTGGCACACCAGGGTGGCACAGGGGCCGTTAGCAAATCCACTTGGGTGATGTAGCGCCCTGGCAGTGCCCGGCTGCCTGGGTCAGCCCACGAGTCTGATGCAGCCCTTTGGGGAGGAGTGGCACACCAGGGTGGCACAGGGGCCGTTAGCAAATCCACTTGGGTGATGTAGCGCCCTGTGCAGACACGGTGAAGCCCATCTGTCTGCCCTCCTTCGATGCGGAGCTGCCTCCCCAGGCCCCGCTGTGGGTGGCAGGCTGGGGCTACGCGGAGCAGGATGGTGAGTTCAGGCGGCCGGTCCCCCCGGTGCGGCGGGGCGCAGGGCAGCTCCCACTCACCTGTCTTTTCTCGAGGCGCGTTGTCTGAGGCCCTGCGGCAAGCCCAGGTCCAGCTGGTCGCCAGCAGCAGCTGCCATCTCCCACGAGATGATCTGCGCGGGCCTCGTGCAAGGGGGGGTGGACACCTGCCAGGTGAGCACCTCGGAGGGGTGAGTCCAGCACGAGGGGAGCAGCCGGCTCGTTCCAGGGGCGCACGGGGCCCTTGCAGGACTGAGGGGCCGGGCCGTGCAGGGTGCTGCAGGGGCAGGAGGGGGGCTGGGCCAAGGTGTGTGATTCCAGACCGCACCGCGCACCCACCACCTGAAAACCAGGGGCTCCAAGTTGGGCCCAACCCACCGTTCACTCTGGGCCTGGGCCCCCTCTGACCGAACGCCTCAGGCCGCGCTCGCGGGGGCTAACAGCAGGGTTGTGTCCCTCCCAGGGAGACAGCGGCGGCCCCTTGATGTACAACCCGGGGCGCTGGCAGGTCGTGGGGATCGTCAGCTGGGGCCACGGCTGCGGCAGGCCGAGCACGCCCGGCGTCTACACCAAAGTGCAGGCCTATCTCAACTGGATCTACAGCGTCCAGAGGGTCAGTGTCTAGGGCTGCCAGGTGGCCAGTTGAGCCGGACGGTCCGGGATTGGAGCTTTCTGTCCGGGAAACAAACTGAGAAAACACCGGCCACAGGACTGTCGGGTGTGAACGAAGGACGTTTTCTTGTTCTCATGAGTATCCGGACGTAGCTGCTCGCGTGAGCGTGTCTCCCGGCCAGGCAGCACGCGGCTACGCAGTAGAGAGGAGGGGAGCGGTGGCAGGAGGGAATCCCTGGGGCCAGACTCGCCCACGCGCCCCGCCAGGACCATGCGTGGGACGGGCCGCACCCTAGCATTTACGTGCACCCTGGGCA